ATGCCATTACATAAAGCAAGGGACGGTTAATGTTATTAACTGTTATCATTTTTTATGATCAATATTTAGAGCACTTCAAGCATAAAATACAGCCTTTCTTATTCATTATCTGGCAATTGTTATGACTCATGAGTGATCTATAATCTGTCTCATGAATCGTCACACTGCAAAGATAATTATCATGTGTGTACATATTTATTCACAAATTTTGAAATTATATCTCTTATTTTACGTGCATTCTGATTTCTGGTATACAATTGCTGCTGCACATTACGATTATCAATATAACCCAACAATGGATCACTACTCAGGGAAGTTTACGAAGTATATATATGATAATTGTCTTTGCAGTGTGACAATTCATCATATAGGTTATGGATCACTCGAGAGTTATGATGAGTGATCCATGAAACACTCTATAACAAAAGCCAGACAATGAATAGAAAGGACCGTATTTTATGCTTGAAAATGCCTCCTAAAAATATGATCAAACTTATTTTGTAAATTCCAGTTTTTGGCTTATTATTACTATTATATAATAAAATTTGAATATTTATTAATAAGAATAAAATCAACAATTGCCCGTCTTTAACATTTAGAACAAATTAAATCAATTGAGTAACGTGTATACTCTTAAATATTAAAATACCCAGTAAGCGATTGTGTCAAACTAGTATTCATAAGATAAAATGTTAAAGCTAAATAAAAAATAAAGCTCATCTAGATACGATTAAACTAAATATTAAATTAAAGGTTTAAAAAAAAATCTATAAAATAGCCAAAAAAAGGCCAGAAAAATTAATTCGTTCTATACATAATTTTTTTGCTTATATATTTTTTTACCTTCTTGCCTATAAACTTCTCTATCTTCTTGACTTACATTGCTTTTCATAGTGCTTTCTTGTGCCATATTGCTTTTCTTATCTTTTAGTGCTTTCTCTGTCTTCTTGACTTTCGTCGCTTTTCTTTCTTACCTTATAGTGCTTTCTCTTAATTTTCTTGTATGGCATTGCTTTTTCTATTTTCAGTACTTTCTTCCTGCCTTCTTATACAACATCACTTTTTCTATCTTATAGTGTTTTTTCTGTCTTTTCCTTGTATCACATCACTTTTCTATTTTAAAGTGCTTTCTCTTAATCTTATAGTACTTTCTCTGTCTTCTTGACTAATATTACCTTTTCTATTTTTACCTTATATTGCCTTTTTCATCTTCTTGACTTATATTGCTTTTTCTTTTTCCTTTTATATTACCTTTTTTTATATTTTGCTATGGAAAATTTGATTCCTGATGATTCCACTTCTAATGCCTCAACATCTAATAATAACAAAATAGTAGTAATCAGCGATGTATATAGTACTAGAGATAATTGAATAGTGGTAGAAGAAGAAGAAGATAATACTAAAATTTGGAAATGTATACATTGCCAAAAAAAGACTTATACAATAAAAACCAGTAGAACATATTTAAAAAAACATACCTTATTGTATCTTAATTCTCCGTTAAACGAAGCTCAGACTGAGTGGTTCAGACCAATTACTAAAGAAGATATAGATAATTCAATAATGGACATGGTTATTGCAACAGGTGTATCATTCAATATTCTTAATAATCCGTCATTTTGTAAAATGGCTATAAATCTTCGCTATGTTACACCTTCATATAAAATCCCACATCCAACTACGATATCCTGATATATTACTGGCAATATATTTGACTTGAAATTAAAATTTGTTAAAGATATTTTGGCTAAAACTTCTGGACAAATTTTACTCACATATGATGGTTGGCACTCAACTGTCCATAAGTCTCATTATATTGTTATTACAGGATCCTGGATTAGCGATGATTGGAGAATAGTTAATATTGTTCTAAGCTTTCAAAAGTCGGGTCAAACGGTGAAAGAAATAATATCAGAAATAATGAACACATTAAAAAATTACTCTATTAAAAAAAAATTATTTGCACTTACTATGGACAATACTACTACAAATAAAGCAGTAAATCGACTGCTCCAAAATGAGTTGCCAGATACAGAATTAATTTCAATAGGTCATTATTATTATTATTATTATATTTTTCTTTATAATTTAATTTTTTTTATTAATATTTACATTAATTTTCAGGATGCATGTGCTATATTCTTAACCTTATCATTAAAGAGGGTTTGAAAGAAATTAGTATATTACATAAGAACGTTCATAAAGTTATGAAATACTTAGCTAATCCACTTGCTAGTAATAGAATAGAAGTATTAGAATCACATTGTAGAATTTCCAGAATAAACTTTTTGAAGCCTATTCTTAAAATTGATACGCGTTGGAACTCTACGCTAGCGATGTTCGAGAGATACCTTCATCTGCATCCAGCTATTAAAGAAATGTGTTCTAAAGAACCATCAATGCCCACTTGCTTAGCGATGAAAGCCTGATAGACCTCAAGTCCTTCTGTCAGCTTCTTAAACCATTTGAGATCGCCACGTTAGTTCTTTCGAAAGAACAGTCGAATTCAATTTCTGACACACTAATGGTTATATTGAAAATTGGGCAGCATATTAATAAACTTAAGAATAAGAATGTTAATAATAAATCAATGATTAAAAAATTTAAAAAATATTGGAAATCTATCCTTGATCATGTCATAATTGCCCATGTGCTTGATCCAAGATATAAGTTTGAGCACTTAAAAGAAACACTTATTGAAGTCGGTGGATATAAAGATAGTGACACAGAAATATTTGTCAATGATATTTGCAAAAAAGTTCTTTCATATGGACTGAAATATTCCAGCACAAGTCTTTCAGATTATGTTGAAATTGATAATAACAATGATAATTCTACGTCCAATTCCTTATTTCCTATAAGAAGAACTTCAAAAAGGCGAAAACGAATAGATACAGTCGAATATGAGTTAGAACTATATGAAAGTGAATCTCTTAAAAAATTAGAAGATATTGAATAAAAATTTGGAAATTATTGTTACTAAGATTTTCAATACTTAGCAAAATAGCACATGATTTTCTAAGCATTAAACCCTCCGGCATTTCTAGTGAAAGAGCATTCTCAAGAGCTGGTTTCACACTTACTAATGATAGGGCAAGTCTTTGTGAGACAACTGTTTCATGCACAATACCTATGCACTCGTGGCTAATGGAAAGCCAAAATGAGTCTAGCCCTCTTAACTCTATTCCATAATTTTTTAAATTAATGCTACACGGCATATTAAATGATAAGCAGAAAAAAGGTTATTACTAATCATAAATAAATTATTTGTACTACAGGTCGACCTAAGAAAGATTATTGTCACATGATACAGGTCATTTACATAAAATAGTTAAAATAGTGTTGTACATTTTTTTGTCTTTTTTACTCTTTCATGTCCAAGAATGTTCCAAGAATATTAAGTATATAGAAAATATTAAGTATATAGAAAATTTTTAATATCATTATATAAATTAGATGAAAATTTTGTACTTAATATATTGAGTCAAATTATATACAGTTATCCTGTTAATAATAAATTTCCTATTAATATCAACCTCTTAGTAAGAAAAATAGGCACAGGCTATATAAAAACTATCCTACTGTTGTCAACCCTCACACATATCAACATAATTGTCTAATCCAAATGGGTTGAATTAATGGAGGTTACCTGTAAAGTTTGATTTGATTTTTTTTTATTTGATATGTTTAACATTATCATCATTAATTAGAAGTGATGCAGATAATGCCAGTAAGTAATATACAAATTATTTACTTTAAAGTTTAACTTTAAAGTGAAACAAACAAAACTATAGCAACATTATAAGGCTATGATTAGACTCTCGCAGGTGGTAATTCAACAGTAAATTAAATATGATAATTTCAATTATAATGATACTTTTAACAGTAATGGAATAAAAAGGCTAAAGAACAAGAACGCTATTGAAGTAATTAAGATTGTTTACAAGAGGTTCAGTAATATATATTTGTGCATTCAAGTGGCAGAAAAGAAGCTTCGTTTTGTCATGAGATCATGACCAGAGCCCGAAACATCGAATGTTCGGTTCATAGTAAGGTTTTGGATAGTAAGTATCAATATGATTGATTCAGTGATGGTTATAGATATTTAGTAAGTATGATGTATTGTTCGTTGAGTTGAGTTTAATTGATTAAGGGGTAAAAATGAACATTTTGTAAGTATGATGTATTGTACGATGAGTGTAGGTTGATTGATTAAGTGATAGTAGGTATGAAGTCATAGTAAATGACTATTTAAGAAGAGAGGGTTGGAAATTCGTTCTTTCTCTTTTGTCTTTGCTGCTAGCTCGACACAAGTTTAGCTTCGTTGAGATGACCCACCCACCCACTACAAGATATAAGTTGTTAGTAGGAAGAGATAGGTGGGGTGTTAAGAATTGTCGATAGCCTGGGAGAACAGCTCGGATATCAGAAATTAGTACTTTGATAGCCCGACTGTACAACTTGGATATCAAAAGGAAAGAGAAATAAGTGTAAAATTAGTAAGTGATACTAGGAAAGAGAGACGAAATCCTATTAGTGTTTTTCATAGTTTGCACCAGATAATCGAGTGACAAATCAGCAAATGAATTAAAGGTTTATTATTAATATTTATATCTTAATCACAATTATGCTTAACTTAAACCATATATTGATATTAATATTACCAAAAATTAACTAAATAGTTATAATGAGATCCTTAAGATTGCTATTTATTACTTTTACGGAATTGGACTAGAAAAGGGCCTTTATAAAATATCAGAAATGAATCAAAAAGTGAGTTAATTTTAATTTGAATTATAATATATTGTAATTTAAATATTGTCTAAAATTTTAATTATAATTAACCTACATGCGATTTCAAGCTTATTGGTTTAATTGGTACAACATGTAATCCCAATGTAACAGCACAACGATGGACAGTAGAAATAAGAATATTGATTATCGCATCAGAAAATTTCAACTTAAAGCTTTAAATATAAAGATACAATCAAATAAATTCTATTTAATAAATCATATAAGCAGAAATTCTTGGTTGGAGTGCTGCTTTTTGAGAAAATTAAAATTTGCTCCTGAAACTTCAGAATATTATATAGTTTATCACTTATGTTATATGCAACAAATATCTCATTTCTAATATTAGTTCTTTGTAAAATTGAATACAAATTTGACAAAAAAGTTTGAATCGTATTACTTTGGTAAGTATCCATTACTATTTTTTAATTTCGAGTAAAAATCTACACTAATTTACCTTTTACCTTATTATTATTTATTTAAATGTTCCACGAGCTTTGCCTTTAAAATATGTATGTGCACTTTCAATTCATCAGTCAGACCATTCTCTATGCTGATAATTACGATTTTAGTTATTTTCACAATTAGTTTGATGATTCTTAAAAATTCTTTCTTTCTAATAGCAAATTAAAAAAATATATAAATATTTTTTAATGTACTGTATATAGGGCTTTATAATCCTCAGTATTCCATTAAGATTCAACATTCTCTGTTTTTGTTTCATGGCTAATAATGTACGAAATATATGAAATATATGTGTTCTTGTTATCTTTTGGCGTTCCTAAGTATAAGTTTATATACAATTGTTTCTTATAACTAGCTGGTAGCTTTTATAAATTTTGATAAATTTTAAAGTTAATTTATCATTTTTAACTTTTATATTTTTTCTAGATTCAAGCTCTGTGTAATTTCTCTCACATTTTATTCAGTTATTTCATATTAATATAACTCGTGAGTATAAAAAAACATTGGTTAATCAATTACTTTAAATAAGCTACCAAATTTATTTATCCATATCTATTTAATTTAGTTCGCATCAATTATTCAAATTAGTTATAAATATTTATTATTAATAAATATTTTATTTATCTAAATTATTAGTTAATGATATAAAATTAATAATAATTTATAATAAAATAATAATTAGTTAAAATAAGTCTAACTTAATTAGAGATGGTACCCGTCAAGAAAAATTCCACTTGGGCATTATTAAATTATCCAGTTATCTGGGTAATTTATAGCCATATAATAAAAATGTCTACCCAGGTACGTACCATTCCTAAATTCAAATTTACTTTAGATTACTTAGACTGTCAAAAACAACAGGTTTTAGATTTTACTCTGAATCCAGTTCAAAAAATACTATGAAAAGTATAGGTACGACTAGTCTAGTGTTGGGGAAAATGCGCATTTTATAATAATATGCGCACGTTATATAAAATGCGCATGATATCATATGTTATAATTTTTGGAATTTATATTTTCCCTTCGGAGAATATCGGCTATGTGCTCAAATTTTTGCCTAAATCTTGCTTTTCTTTTATGCTCATTCATTTTATTTTCAGAATTTTTCGAGAATTTTGTATCCATATTCCTTAATTCCACCTAAAAATACGCTCTCTGGCCTAAATTATATATAATTTAATTTTTCTATATAAAATTTAGATAGGATAAAATGCGCATGATTCCGAAATGCGCATGCATAAAACCCATCTTTAGACTGGTCAAATGACTAGTAAATGCCGGCTAGTCATAGGCACAGGAAATAAATTTAATTAAAGGACTTGAAGTCTGCAGAATATATTGGGTGTAATTTTAGCTAAGTAATTCAAACTGAAGCGATGATATGAATTAGCGAAATTGCGCCAGGTATCATTATAACAGTAGAACGAGTGAAAAGCAGCATTAGCCGATGTTTCTGCCTACTCAAGCAGGCCGGCTGTTAAAAAGAAAATTAGCAGTATTAGGAGACTGTTGTGTAGCAAGAAGATTAAGTCAAGAATTTGTTTATTCAAGACTACTGTGTTGAAGCATCAAAAATATCTTTTGTCAGATCCTATATATATTAATTATGATCAGTGGCTTTTCTATTACGTATTTTTGTTTATTAATTCATGTGATTTGACATTAATTGATCTCTTCTCTGATCTTGACTCATGTCTTTTCGATTGATTGGGTACAGAAGTTGTATCACATGGCGAGAGCACAATACAGACATATTGGGCATGTGCTATGCCTGTGCTATGGCACAAATATGTTAGGTACTTTCATGCCTGTGCTCTTAAAATATTAGGCACTTTTAAGCCAAGCACTTTGTGTCTTAGATATAAAAGTGCCAGGTTAATTTATGCCTGTGCCTTATATGCCTACAGGCACAAATTATCTAACTTTGTGTCTGGCATTTTGGTGCCTATACTTGCAAGATACCTGGCAAGTTAATATCAAAATTTTTTGTACCGTGCCTGTGCCAAGTTTTTGTTAGGCACAGGCACATGCCCAGTTTGCAGAGCCCTAGTATTAGTAGGTTTGATTTCTGGTGCTTTATTTATTTTTGACTTTATTTTTGTATCTATTCCTCATGCAATAAGTTTTATCACATTGAATTAATATCTATGCATCATTTGACTCAATTCTAATGTCACGAGCAGTATAAATCGGGATTACCCAAAACATGATCTAAACAATGATCAGGACCAGAATCATAATCATGATGCAATAATGATGCCCTGAATTTTGGCATTCATGATCAACCCAAAATTGTGTGAAACCTACATATTGGGGCCCTACACAATCATACGATTCATAGACAGGCAGGCATACTACCAAATTGAGAAGAAATAATGATATTTCAAAGTGGTTAACCCAAATCTAGTGAAACCTTCAAATCATATAATTGAATTAATAAAAGTGGTAGGAAAAAACCTTTTTATGTGCCAAATTGTACCCACACCTCTATTTAAGCTCTAAAGATTGACATAATGTGAGTTTTCTAGTTTTTTAGCGACAGACTTGCCTTTTTCACACCCAACACTACTCTGGCTAATCTTAAAAGTTTGACTGGCTAGTCAAGCTAGTTGATAAATTTTGGGTAGTAATCTAACTCCTGTTTTAGATTTTTCTCAGCCAATGTTGGCTTAGTGCCCATGTATTATCTGGTTAGATTTCTAGTAATTTATTCAAATTTGCAAACAACTCTTTATATATATTTAGCTTGCACTAGGTTGCTTCATAAATTCTTAATGCTTATGTTTCATTTGGTTTGATAACTGGTGATCTATTTAATTCTTCAAGTGATTCTTTATATCTGTTCATCGCTCGATTAGGTTTCCTGTACTAACTTAATATCTAGCTTGATTCTAATGACTTGCTTAAATCTGCAAGAAATTCTTTATATTTATTTA